GGACATATGATAATTGTCAAGTCAACTTTCTAGACCTTAATATTAGAATAGAAAGAGGAAATATTATTACCAAAACGTTCTTTAAGGAAGTAGATAGGAACGGCTTTATACCAGTAGACAGTTGCCACTTTCCCCCATGGTTGTATAATATTCCAAAGGGGCAACTGGTTAGGCTAAAAAGGAACTGCTCAAGTCAAGAAGAATACACAAAACAGGCGGAAGTGATGGGGAAAAAATTTATAAACAAAGGGTACCCAAAACAAGAAATTGAAAGAAAGATTCATGAAGTCGGGAAACTGGAGAGGAATTCGTTACTATTGGACAAGAAGAAGGATGAGAATTTTGAAAGTCAGATGGCCATTGTGCTGGACTTTAATGTCCATTACAAAAAAATAGAACAAATATTCAGGAGGCACTGGTCAATTTTGAAATCTGATCCTGTGTTGAACCCAATATTAGATGATTGCCCAAAATTTATTTATAGAAGAGCTCCCACATTAAGGATGAGGTTAGTAAAGAGTGTGCTAGATCCACCTGATAGGAAGAAAAAATCCACTTTTTTGGATCAAATAGGTTTTTTCCCGTGCAGACAGTGTTATGGGTGCAGGGAAACGAGAGGAAAAAATACGAAACGTAAAACCTTTAAATGTAATGTTGATGGTATGGAGTTTAAAATCAAAGATTTTATTACTTGCCGTACAGAAGGTGTGGTTTACGGTTTGGAATGTGGCTGTGGCTATCAATATATAGGCAGAACAAAAAGACCACTCTGGAAACGCATTAGAGAACATGTTCAGAACATAAAAAATGGTTTCCCGAAACACAGTGTATCCAAACATTTTTTAAAAAAACATAATAAGGATCCTTCAGGTTTGAGGTTCTGGGGGATACAAAAATATACCAAGCACTGGAGAGGAAGTAATAGGATTAAATCTTTGAGCCAGGCGGAATCCCGATGGATTTTCACTATGCATACACAGGCACCTTTTGGACTCAATGTGGAATTTGATTTAAATTGTTTTATTAGTGACTTTTAAATTTTTAAGATTTTTCACATTTTTTTAGGAAGCCCCTAGTGGTGGTAGTCGGATATGAATGGATATTTATTTATTGACATATTGGCAATTTATTAATGGTCTATTGTTAGAAATGGACGGGAATAGTAAATAGTTTAGTTAAATATTTATTCATTATGAGTTTATTTTTAATTATTAGTGTATTAATATGTTGTTTAGTTTAATGGTCCTTTAACATATGAGATATAATAAAAAGGATGAATTTAAGGTATATATATATTGATATGAGGAATATTGTAAACTCAAGCTATAGGTGTATCTGCATGACCCCTTTTTTTGTATATGAGATTTCTTATATACAGTAGAGATGTTTTCCGGTAGGGGTTAAAATAAATAAATGTTTTTAATATTGAGGTTTAATAATTTTTTTTGAGGGATATATAATTGGAATATAGGGTATTTAAAAACCTAAGATGGCTCTATATGTAGAAGGGCAATCTAATAAGATGTTGAAATATATGTATTTGGATATACATATATATTTTGTATATTACGTTTTTAGTGTTTATACATATTATTTCTTAATTGTTGTCTATTTAATAAAAAATTACATATGTGTATTAAGTGGTTTTTAATATATTAAAGAGATTTGTATATACCGCGGATTAAAATAGTGGCATAGATCGAGGGTTTCCCCATAGGGGGACATTATGTTAATGTTCCTCCGTGTTGTTTAGTGAAGATAGCGGGCTTCGGGAAAATGGCCGCCGGGAGCCCGTCCTTCAATTGGGAAGAGAGATTAGGCTGGATCCTATTTAAAGGCATTCAGTCACTGGTGGGCGTTAACCCTGATGAAGTCACGACGCACGTGACGCAACGCGTCGGTACGCCATATCCGGTTTGGAACTACGTCACTTTCGGTCACGTGGGACGCATGTCCGAACGGAGCGGCCATATTGGTTTACCCCTGTGTTCATGAGATACACCTATGGCATGAGGTGGAAGGCTTTTGTAACCAGGAAATCAAATGTGAGTACAACCGATATGTAATAGAAGTGGCTTACATTAAACAATATTATACTATGGGAAGCTCTGTTTTGTGTCCTATATGACATATGAGTGGAGGAGAAGTGGAGACCCTGTGATCACCTGCTGAGCTACCGAGAGGAGGAGGAAAAAAGTTTGGCCATAGAGGAGATCAGTAGCCTTTTGGCCCCTTGAGGGTCAGTGCGGGGAGGTGAGCAGGCACTGCTGCCATTTGAGGATTTTGTGTTTGAGCACTAGAAGTGAAGACCACTGTTCTATCACAAGCTACACTTGCATGGACTCTATTTATATATATATATGATATATGATTTATACATATATATATGTTCTGTATATGCACTTAAATTAAGCTTTTTTGTATACACATGTTCACTTTAATTATTGATGAGCACTTTCAATCTAAATAGTGAAGGAGAATAAGGAACCTCTTGGAGATTTAAGATTATTTGTCACTGGTGTGATTATTCATTTGGTTTATTCATTTAGTTATTATCACCGTTTTATATATATTATGAATTCAGTTTGGTTTTTTATTATTATTTTAAATATATTATTGGGTTTAATGTTCCAGCGGTTTACAAGGAATTATTAACACCTAGCACCTATATTCACTGATGGCACTTTAATATATATATTTATATATGTTCATTTATCAAGCGCTTCACTATTTTTTGTATATATAGGGAAGCGGTTAAACTAACTGCCAACCATTGCTATTTCACCCGCACGCCCCCCCCCCCCAAAAAAAAATTTTTTTTTACAAAACTTTAACATATCTACTAGTAGGCAATTTTCTGAAATCCCACCCAGAGCAGCAGGCAGGTGGTCAAGTATGATGGCAGGCCGAGCTGTGCTAGCCAGTGGCATCTGCCGAATTACAGATCCTGGCCTTTGTAGCATGTTACTCCCACTGCTGCTTCTCTAAAGTCAGCTGAGGTGTAATAAAAAAAAAAAAAAAGAAAGAAGATTGGTGGCCATTGCTGATCTACTTCAGAAATTTCAAGCTCTCTAGCTATGTTTGGCTTCAATGTTTTCAAAATACAGATCTGAACAAGCACACAAAATATGAAACGCAGAGAAAAGACAGCATATCTTGTCTCTAGGCTTGCTCTGAGTCTTCAACTTAAAGTATTGAAGCTATACCAACCCGAATGACAGGTAGGCATACAGCACTTTCAGAAAGATGGATCAGGAATGTCAGCCTCCTATGACATGTTTCCTTTAAAGAATATTCTACCCCAACGTTTCATATTCATGATATGTGCCTGCTGTACCATGTACTGGTATGAAAAAGTATCCTGTTCTCTTGGCATGGTTTCCTTTGTGTGAAATACCTGGTGATCCTGCCATTTCCTCTGCTTTCCTATTTGAAATTGGCCACACTAGGCAGGAGAGCTCAGCGTGGTCAGATTGTTGGCTGTGCTGGGAAAACTGCCTGCCTGTCCTTCAATGCACCAGACTTGGGTTGACATGCCCCCCTGCACTGCCATTCACTGGGAATATCAGTGTACTGCTGTTTCTCCACTGCCAGCTCTCTAAGCTCCATGTGCAGCTGAGAACAGAAATTATGTGATCACTTATTAAAAAAAGAAAGTCTTTATAATGTGTTTTAGTATGTACACATAAATGTTTTGCCTTTCTTTTTAATTTTAAACTGCATGGTCTGTTTTACAAGGTGAGGGTTCACATATAATTTAAGCCTACTATAGCAAAAACTATCTCCCAGCAAACAGATTTAAACCTGTAGTGGAAAATACTGAATACAACAGGACATTAGAGCAGAAGTTAATCAATTTACCTGCTTCCCAAAACAATTAAATTCAAAGCATGTGGTGAATATTTGTCACAACCAAACTGTGAAGCCATCAAATGGCTGGTGTCATAACTCATCACATGTGCACAGCAATGGCAAATGAAAATCAAGCAGAGACTAAGATGGCAGCTTACTTGGCTGTAAAGGATAGAAGGATTTAGTTAAGCTTCAGCCCTGGTTCACAATAATGCGGTGCGGCACACCGCATGTGATTCGCACAGGAACCACGCCCCATTCCTGTGCAAATCACATGCGGTGTCTGTGCGGTGTGTTTTGAGCCATACATTTTGTATGGCTCAAATCACATCACATCCACACACCAAAAAGGTGCAGGAAAAAAAAAGGGTCCTGCACCTGTTTTCACACCCGTGCGATGTGAATTCTGGTAATCGCACTGCATTTTGCGATCGGCTTCAGGGTGTCATTAATGTAACATTGACACCTGCACCAGATCGCATGGACACCTTGTGATTACAATGTGGTGCGGGAAACGCACAGGATTCACTGCGGTGTGAACCCAGTCTTAAAGTGGTTGTAAACCTCAGACATGAAATATGAACAAAGAATATCGCTCTATAGTGTGTTCTTGTCTCAATCCAGAGCAATAAGTGTCATTTCTCTCTGCTGCTTTGTTCCTCTGCTATCTGTAGGAGTCACTTTTGACAAGTTTTCCTGATGCCAAGAGAAAAAATGGTGACGGGGAGGGAGCTCCAGCAGATTGACAGCTTCGGCTCTGTTCCTGTGTGAAGTGCAGTTTCATCTCTCTGCCCCCTTTTCTTTCTAAGCTCACATACAAGCTTCATAGATCCAACAGTTTCAATGGATGTAGAGAAGAGAAGACTGTAGACAGACAGGTACTGTACAACATAGGAGGATTGGTTTCATCTCTGTGTATCACCTGAGGCCAGTCACTTCACTGGGTACATGTAAGGGTTTACAACCCCTTTAAAAGATGGTCTGTCTTAAACAGAACTACTGAATGAGACCAACTTTGTTTTAAAAGCAAAAAAGCTCATATGGTAAGAGAAAAATAGAAAAGCATTTAATCACACCAAGCACACACACACAAAATTGCTATCCTTACAACCATAGTTTAAAAACAGATTTCTCTTGATCAAAGTCCTTTACTGATCATTTAGTCTCTGGCGTATGTTACGGGATTTTACATTTTCCAGCTTCCTTTTTTTGAAAACCGAAACCCCAGCTACTGTGTCCCCAAGAGAGGTGATGGTCTTCTCCTTGAAATTCACTTTTGGCTCCTGTGGGAGGTCAGGTATTGAAGCTTGTGGGTCATCATATTCAATATTTGGAAGCTCTAAATCCACATTCTCACTGTGGGAAAAATGTATAAATTAAAATGAGGTGAATTTTTATCTAACCACATTCATCAAATGAGCTTTCTGTTTTTGGCTATATTGTGCAGGAATCCACATACCAATTATACAGACTTTCATAATATTATGGTTAGGAAAACTTTATTTAACCCCTTCCTGCTGCCCTTTAGGAGGTTATCAATGCTGGGAGGCGGAGGCAGACATGCTAATCATGTGACCACTGCAATTGGCAGTCAAAGCTGTCACATGATCAGAAAGCTCCTGATCGCAAGTATGTATTGGGAACTTTCCAGTACCCCCCTGGTTACTGCGTGCGCAGTACAGTAAAGTGTTTACATAGGGATGCATATATGCGGCCACTCGGCATTAAAGCCGACCTGGCGAGAGGCCGCATATATGCATACTGCTGGCAGGAAGTGGTTAAAAACCTATCTTTGGTGTAAAATAGAGAAGAAGCACTGCACAGTAATCCAGTTGTCAGCACAGCTATCATGGATAAGCTAAAATGTATCTAAACCCAAAAGCAAACCTTTAATATATTGCACCTTGCCAATCCTTAAATACATTGGATGCATTAGTTCTCATTTTAGACTTGTTCCCTTTATTTCTACCTCGTGTTATTAAGTCAGTTACGGTTTACCCTCTTCTAACAAACCAAGCTGTCCAGCAAAAGTGGCAGTTAGAGGGTTGAGACAAACCATTTAACACTGACAGGGGTGCTTATAATGATCAGCTTTTATTTATACAAAACCTTTATCTCAAAAGGTAAAAAAAAAATAGGTTGTTGTAAATGCTTATAAAGTGTTAGCTGGAGTTCAGATTTAATTTGTTAGTCATTCCATCTAAATCTGTTAGTCTAACACTACCCTCCACCCAGACTGACAATGTTGCTATCCAGGGGTATCTGTTTTACGACTTCATCCAGAATGCAGATACCCCAAGACAGGAAGTGGGTTACTGGCTGGATCACCAGGTGACAAAGGAAAAATCCTTAAAAAGTAACATATGCAGCCACCCAGATGAATTTTGTTTTTGTTTTTAGATACAGTTGAAAAAAAAAAGCATTATAAAAACATTGCACTTATTTTTCTGCCATCACGTTGAAAAAGGGTTGTGTAAATATATACAAAAAAGCATCAGTTCCTGATTTAAAGAAAAAAAAAACGAAAAAAAAAACAAAAAAAAAAACCACAATTTGTTTTCAAACCCACTGCAATTACGATAAAACAAAATGAGCCTTTCAAGCGAACTTTCATCACCTATTAAACAGCTTGTTGGTATTATATTAACTCTCTCTACCAGAGCAGTTTGTGGTTTTTTTTGCACACATTTAAAAAAAATCATTTTATGCCTTCAGATTATTTAAAACCCCCAAATCATTATATATTTTCTTAAAGCAAACTCCCTGGAAAACGATTATTTTAAACACAACATTTTTGGTAAAATATAAAAGAGTGCTGAGTAAATAAATACTCAATATATGTCAAGCCTTAAAAATGTCAACAAATTCTGTACACTAAATTTTCCATAGGCAACACTTTAAAAGCTCCTACAGGTCATAAGTTTAGAGTAGAGGTATTGAATTAAAATTCATGGAAGTCCAGTCAGTAAAATTTTCTTCCAGCAGGGGTCTAAATTGCAGTGACTCAAATCCTTCACATCATCAACTATGATTTACCATTCCTTTACATCACAGTCATCCCTATATTCTCTTATATCACTGTTCTGTCAGTGTCCACATTCTCCCTGGTACACAACAGTTCCCTCCCCTTCACAGCGGTATCCTCAGCCCCCCTTCACAGGCTTACCTTACAGAGCACAATGCAGGAGGCGCAGTAGTCTGGATGGTAGGCGGGGCTGCCCAACTTATCATTTTAACAAGCTGGCAATTGTTTGCTAGGACTGTCCTATGTCCTAGTAACCAATCACCTGCCTGTTAATGTGAATAGTTAACTTGGAAAGCTCCTGGATTGTCTTGCCTCCTGCTCTCTGCCCTGCTGTTAGTATGACAGTTGCCGGGAAAGAGGAGACAGCAGAAGGATCGTCAGGATGCAGAGGAAGAGAGAAAGAGACCAGGCTCCTAGGTGGCGGATGGGACAGTCACTTGGACCAGATCCAGACTTAAGTCCGCCATTTAGTGATGCCTGGTTTACAGTTAACCAAGAGTAATGCTGCTAGATTTCTTGCTCTTACTCAAGCATGCACAGCTTTATGTGTAATGCAATTGACACATGTATTTACATTTGTATGTGCATATATGTGGGAGGCATCCAATGAGAAATTTTGGATTTAGTCAATAGACTGTTGCCAGGATATGTGGAAGTGACCAGGTGGCTGTACAGTTGCCTGATCACTTCCACCTGACAGTTGGCTTGTCAGATATAAAGACATTACTACAGCAGCTGGGAGTGTGTGTGTGTAACCCCCTCTGCTGTTGGTGTATGACATACATTGGTGGCAGCAAAAGTTAGTTATGTCAAGGTTACACACTATTGCTACTTACTATGGGTCTTCCTCCAGTTTAACTTCCTCCCATGCCCCATATGGATTTGCCTTTTTTGGCCTTCGGCTGGGAAGTTTCTGAGAGGAATCATCTTCTTCAGTGTCCTGCTTGACTTCATGGTCTTCTTCTTTACTATCCGATTCAGGCGTCTCATCTTTTTTCTCTTCCTTTTTACTCTATATAAAGCAAATTTTAATAACTAATACTGTGCAAGCCACATAATTATATTTGTGATTATGCATTTATCAAGGAACATAATGGGTGTGTTTATTAATCTCCTTTTTTGAATTATAAAACAAGTCCACAAAGACATTTGTATTTAGGCATTCTGTAATTGAATAGGTTTGCTTTACGTCTAAGTCTAATTTACCACAGAAATTGTGAAAACAGGTCTTCTGGAACAATTATGCTGCAAGCAAATCCTGTGGTGTAGATGATTTCACTCAGGGACACATCATTAAGTAACATGTTTACAGTACTCTTTCACCTACTACCAAAATTGTAAAAAGTCTGATAAGTTTGTGACTCAACCAAACTTTTTAAAGCTGAACTCTAGGTATGACCCTAATTGAATACTTACATTGGTCAAGCTTAGACCAAAGTAAGTATGCATATCTTATACCTGAGGAAACACTGTGAAAGCGGACAATCACTTTACAGGATTCCCTGCATGCTCTTCAATGTAAAAAAAGGCATTCTTTGATTGGATGAGGTAGAGATCGTGAGTTCCCTGCTCCTCATCTCCAAAAAAATACATGGTGCTCTGTAGAGTGGCTGCTTGACACCAGACCTGTAAAATTGTGGCGATTTCTGTAGGAGTGTCGACTACTACAGTGACTGTCATCTTTCCCAGTGGTTCCCCAGGTATAAGATATTCATACTTACATTGGCTCAAGTATGCAATTAAGATCATACCTGAGCTTAGATTTATTTCTCTTGGAGCCCACTGAAAATTGGGAAAAATTTTTGAACCATCATTCTTAAGTCAAATCCATATTAGGTACCAAAAACTTGTGTATTACAGAGCTGTGAAATGTGTAAAGTTGTGCAAAATAGTATGGTAAGCTCCTGGTTGCTCTGCCTAATGAGATAATGGTGAAAAATAAAAAAATTGAATGATTAGAATGTTATCTGTGGAAATCAGAAGGCAGCAGAGGCTTTCAACAACCCTTATGTGGTAACCTTCCTGGGAAAAAAAAATGCAAAGATGCACAAGTGGTGTGAGCCACCAATTTTAAAAATTACACCTGGGATGCTAAGATAGAAGTGTGGGACCTGGCAACACTGGCCGTCAAGATAAAAGGTGCTCAGACAACAGCAAAAGTGAATATATGGCAGAAACATCCAAAACCGCTTTGAAACAAAATTGAACAAGGGACACTTAGATGGAATGTTGTGGCCTGGTGACACTGGCAGTCAAGTTAGAGGTGCTCAGTTAACAGTTGAAGCATATATAAAAGGCAGAAGTAATACAACAGAGTGCAGTGCTGAGAAATGAGTGCAAAAAACAAATAGTCCGTGGTTATTACTTGAATATAAATATCTAGTCCCAAGAAATAGATGATGAAGACCAGGAAGCAATGGAAAGAGTGCGCACTCACCGGACGCGCATGGAAAATGCGCATAAATGAATATCTCCTGAATTAGAGTAGATGGAGAGAGTGAACTCCAATCTGTGGATCAATCAGCCTGGGAAAATATCAGAGATCCGGAGGTCCCCTTAAAGGTGGTATGATTATCAGCCAGACTCCAAAAGCTCCGTCCCTCTGGTGGTGATAGTTAAGCACTACAGGGATCCTGCAAATGGATTTAGCTCCCAATGGGAACCAAAAAAAAACAGGTGCCCATAGTGTAGTATTTTAAAATAGAATTTTATTGAATAAAACTCGAGTGACAAACAGGGTAGTAAGGCTGTGTACAGTAACATGTATTTAAAGCAGAGTACGCAGCAATGGTACTGACCCTAAATTAAAATGGCCGCGGGGCTGTCTTCCGTGGCTCCGGGCAGAAGATGACGTCATGCTCTGTCGTTCCTCCTCATGCTTCCCGGTACCTGCTGATTCCTGTATTATCAGTTTTTAACAAATAACGCACCATGTTACATGGGTGAAAACCCATTAGGTCGGCAAATAATTTTACATTTTTTAGAGGGGTCAATAACATTAGGTGCCAAACTGTGTCTCATAGAAGACGTTCTCTAAATATAATTTTGTTTGTCTGGCAGAATGTTACTCAAAATTGGATCAGGAATATCCCAATTCTTTTTATTATTCTGCTAAGAGATCTTGCTGTATTACATTTTTAGACCAATAACATAGTCCCAACTGTGTCTCTAGAAGACGTTCCCTAAATATAATTTCTGGTTTGTCTTGGCAGAATGTTTTACTCAAAATTGGATCAGTTTTAAGAATATCCCAATTCTTTTTTATTATTCTGCTAATAGATCTATGCCGTGTATGGATGTTGTGACGAATGGGCAAACTTTTTGCTTGTATTGGTCTAGTACTATTCTGTAGCATTTGCATTCCTATCGATATTAGCTACATTGTTAAGAGTGTTTACCAGAATGTTATACGTCATATCCTTTTTCTCAGGAATCGATTTTTCAAAATTATTGGCTGAGAATGGTATACTCTCCAGATCTGTACAATTTCTCCTAATCCTCATGAATTGACTTTTAGGTATATTAGCCAACCAGTTAGGGTGGTGACAACTGTTTGGTGGGGATATAGCTGTTTCGATCCGTGTTCTTGAAAAAAGATTTAGTTATCCTTCTCCATGTTTCATGAGTTGCTTAAATCTATCAGAAAATTTATCTCTTGTTTACTGTAAGAGTAAGTGAGGGTGGATATTTAATTTGTTGTTGTTCAAGGTCCCAAAAAAGTTAATTAAAGATTCCTCTTTACCATTCATACCAACACAATATCATCTATATATCTTTTAATAATAGTCCTTCCGGCCACATTCTCTAGCATATATCAAATCTTCCTCCCACCTTGACATAAACTGACAGGTTAGCAAGACTGGGGCAAACTTTGCCCCCATGGCCACTCCCATTAATCTGCAGATAGTGGGTCTTATTAAACCAGAAATAGTTTTTCACCATGGCAAAATCCAGTAAACCGCAAAATGAAATCTTTCTGTGTACAGTGGGTGACTATTATAGCAGAAGTCGAAAAATATTTTGAAAGACCGGACTACATATGTCCCACTAGCAAAGGACCCTCTTACCAGCTATTAAACGGTTCTTAAGGACATCATCAATTATGGGTATGATAATCACATACTAAATAAGAAAGAGAAGGCTTTTTTTTCATTCCAGCTGCCCCTAAACTACCCATCTTATACATATTGCCTAAAATCCACAAAAACCCCATTAAACCCCAGGTCGCCCTATAATTAGTGGAATTGGGTCTTTGTGCTCAAAAAAATTGGAGAATATATATCGAATTTCTTTTTGCAGCCTTTGGTTATACAGACACCGTCTTACTTAAAGGACACCAAGCAAGTATTAAACCTTGTCAACAATGTTAATATCTCCCCAGACACATTTTTAGTTACAGCTATGTAACTTCACTGTATACTAACATTAACCATTGTGATGGAATGGAGGCCGCTGATTTTTATTTGACACATTACAGCACTGTACCCACTGTACAGAAAGATTTCATTTTGCGGTTACTGGATTTTGCCATGGTGAAAAACTATTTCTGGTTTAATAAGACCCACTATCTGCAGATTAAAGGGAGTGGCCCATGGAGGCAAAGTTTGCCCCCAGTCTTGCTAACCTGTTTATGTCAAGGTGGGAGGAAGATTTGATATATGCTAGAGAATGGCCGGGAACTGACTATTTATAAAAGATATATAGATGATATTGTGTTGGTATGGAATGGTAATGAGGAATCTTTAATTAACTTTTTTGGGACCTTGAACAACAACAAAATTAAATATCCACCTCACTTACTCTTACAGTAAAACAAGAGATAAATTTTCTAGATTTAACACTCATGAAACATGGACGGAAGGATTATAACTTCTAAATCTTTCTTCAAGAACACGGATCGAAAACAGCTATATCCCCACCAACAGTTGTCACCCACCCTAACTGGTTGGCTAATATACCTAAAAGTCAATTCATGAGGATTAGGAGAAATTGTACAGATCTGGAGGTATACCATTCTCAGGCCATATTTTGAAAAATCGATTCCTTGAAAAAGGATATGACGATAACATTCTGGTAAACACTCTTAACAATGTAGCTAATATCGATAGGAATGCAATGCTACAGAATAGTACTAGACCTATACAAGCAAAAGTTTGCCCATTCGTCACAACATTTTTCAATACAGCATAGATCTATTAGCAGAATAATATAAAAAAGAATTGGGATATTCTTAAAACTGATCCAATTTTGAGTAACATTCTGCCAGACAAACCAGAAATTGTATTTAGGAGAACGTCTTTCTATGAGACACAGTTTGGCACCTAATGTTATTGACCCCCCCCTAAAAATGTAAAATTATTTGCCGACCTAATGGGTTTTCACCCATGTAACAGGTGCGTTATTTGTAAATGTGATAATACCAGGAAACGCAGGGTAAATACAGGAGGAACCGACAGAGCATGACGTCATCTTCTGCCCGGAGCCACGAGACAGCCCCGCGGCCATTTTAATTTAGGGTCAGTACCATTGCTGCGTACTCTGCTTTAATACACGTACTGTACACAGCCTTACTACCCTGTTTGTCACTCGAGTTTTATTCAATAAATCTATTTTAAAATACTACACTATGGGCACCTGTTTTTTGGTTCCCATTGGGAGCTAAATCCATTTGCAGGATCCCTGTAGTGCTTACCTATCACCACCAGAGGGACGGAGCTTTTGGAGTCTGGCTGATAATCATACCACCTTTAAGGGACCTCCGGATCTCTGATATATCTTCCCAGGCTGATTGATCCACAGATTGGAGTTCACTCTCTCCATCTACTCTAGGATTCCAGGAGATATTCATTTATGCGCATTTTCCATGCACGTCCGGTGAGTGCGCACTCTTTCCATTGCTTCCTGGTCTTCATCATCTATTTCTTGGGACTATATATTTATATTCAAGTAATAACCACGGACTATTTGTTTTTTGCACTCATTTCTCAGCGCTGCACTCTGTTGTTATTATCCTGCTTTTTATGGGTACACTGTGATTACCTTTAGTGCTAGCTGCTTGGTCAGGAGCGCTCACTTTATACCATTCTTATCCATAAAAGGCAGAAGTGTTGAATTTTTTTTTTGGGCCCCATTGAATCCATTATCGTCATATGAAATTGAAAAGTCCCATTTCTTCCCTAAACAGTTATCATCAAAAGGTGGTCTTACCCGGAAACTGATTTTAGGAGTTTTTGTTGCTAAAGGTGTGGATATGGCTTCCTCTGATGGGCTGGACTCATCTGATGATGTCTCAGTTTTTAACGCCACACTGTCAGCTTCTTCCTCTGCAGCTGTGTCTTGTTTGTCAGGGGAACTTTCTTGTTCTTCTTTAGATGAAAGACCACAATCAAAGTCCTCTGGTTTCTCCCACTTGGATTCTGCAAAAATAAAACCCCTGTTTATTACTGCTGCCAGGGTAATGGATAGGCTATGATTATTGGTAGAAACCCATACCTCCTGTTTCAGTATTGTAGTAGTATGTATGACCCTCTTCAGATACACCTTCTACCCACACAGATTTTTCTCCTTGCTGTTAAAAAAAACATATCAGAAAAGCTCATACATGTTCAAATAATGAGCTTTAACTGATTTTGCCATATGTAGGTATGGGCAAAAAAAACTGCAAAAACCTCACACAAAACAAACCATCACAAGGTTATTATGATTATTGGACTTTAAGGGTAATTTATGGATAATCATATGGAGCCTTGTTAATGGCAATATACTGTAGGTCTACGGCTAGTTATACAAAGAGGTATCTGGTTGGTTTCCAAACAATGAACAGAACCTTGAAAGAAGCCTGTGATCACTTAACATGCACATCTATTATTTAGTGTGGAATGCTAGATGGAAGTAGAACATACCAGTAGCTGGAAGTATTGGTTAATCTGAATTCCCCTCATTTTTTGTCATCAATGATGAAGAAGAAAAATCACACAAAAATCTTTGCAACCTAAGATTTGTTTTGGTACTTGTCTGCTTACACAAATGAAATAAATGATTGTGCTGAAATCATTGTGAAACAAAAACCGTACATTAAAATGACCTAATCTACTTACGAATTCACACCTATTACTTGTGTTTTGACCACTGAATTTTGTTGACAAATCTGCATTTGTTCATTAAGGATTTCTTTCACTCTAGTGCTTTTTAAGTGACTCCATACTGACTGAAGTGCCACCAACATGTCTCTGTTGACTTCCTACTACGAAGTTGGTGCTTGACCCAGTCTCCTCTTGTTGCCCATCAGACATGGTTGTCTACCAGCTTTATTGGCCGATCGTGCCTTTATTGTGTATTAGACTGCCTTAGATTTTGCATTTGCTGGAATGCTCTCGAAGCCAATTAAAATATAAAAGGTGCCTCTATTTGTCTGAACCAACATGCTCTGGTCAGTGTGAGGAACTTATAAACCACATTTTCTATTTATTTTTATTGAAAATAACCTCTCACCTCTTCAGACTGGTTCTCGCTCTCTTGGAATCCATCTGGCACCTCCCACTGAGTCTCTACCATAGAGAGAAAAACATTTAGGAAAATTTTTTTTTTCAATTTCACAAGGTGGAATCCATTAGGTAAAACATGCAGTACCTCCAGTCAGTGTATTGTAGTAGTATGGGTATCCTTCACCAGAGAATGCCTTTGTCCACTGTTTTTTAGCATGGTGTTTTTCTAGAGCTTCTATTTCTTTCCTTTTTTGTTCATCACGTGCTCTTCTCTCCTCAATTGTTGGCCCTACAGGAGCTATAGGAGCTAAAGAAAAATGTGAGTCATTTATTACTTTTATGTTTCATACATAAATGGGGGAAAAAAAAAAAAAAAAAAAAATCACACCGCTGTCACAATGTTTAGTATACAACTAAAAGGTTTAAACAAATCTTTTAAACAATTTGTTAATCAACACCTTTTTATTTTCCCCTAATTATAAGTAGTACAATATATGTGCACAAATGAAAAACAACATTAAAGACCACAAAAAACAGTGAGGGCTTTTCACACCAGCTGCAAGTATGTGCTAAGAAGGCTGCAGAACTGATGCAATGAAAATAGTGAAACACACAGCAATCTTTTTTTTTTTTTTTTTTTTTTTTTTTTTAATCATTTATTCCTTGAACTTTAATGAAATGGCAAAAAGTGATTTCACTTTTTTTATCACTCAGTTTTATCAATCACAGAGTACACACCCCCCTTCATCCCAATTGTGTGAAACAAGCTGACTCTATATGCAAGACAAGGCAGGTTGTCTTGTTTACAATGTACTGGGTAAGGCTGCCTAACACAGTCCAAACACACTCAGTGTGAATGGGCACTGAGTGAAGAGGAGAAGCCTTGGGGATAAAGCATAATGTACCAAAACTATACAAAGATGATGTACATGGCTTTTCAATTAAATAAAATCTAATAAGTAACTGGATGAAATTTAATTTGCTGAAGTACTGTACTGTTAAACAATTGCCAGTCGTTTTATTTTTCACAAAATAGAATTTTCATATTTTTCCCATCTCATTGCTGCTGATCTCCTGCAGCTTCTTTCAGCTACTTTCTGTGCATTTTTGCTAAAGAACCTTTTCCTCATAGTAACAATGGTGGGTCATGTCTGTATGATGTGTGTCAGCACAGCCTTCAGGAACATCCATCAGAGATTAGAGCAGCATCCAGCGGGGCCAGGTTACCCCTTGTGTGTTAAAAAAAAAGTCAGGTACTCCTACTGCTATCTGTGCAGGGATTTTTTTTACCCTTGCTCCAGCACTCAGCTAATGAAAAAAAGAATAGTATATGCAGCCTGACTGCATTATAGTAATAAATAAAGTTGACGTTTAGATATAATTTTTCTTGCATAGCTATATTGGTCTAGCTTAGACCAATGTAATTATGTACATCTCATACCTGACCAATCCCTGTTTAAAGCTGCAAATCACTCTAGTATTTGCCACTACTACAGTGATACCAGCTGTCTTCCAGGTCCAGTGCCAAACACCTGCTGTCCTGCATATTAACAGGGGGTCGCTCACTTAGTACTGTTGCCTCTCAGAGAAAGCCTCCTATTACTTTCAATTAATTCAAGGTGTTTGGAAAATTGGAGATTGTGGCATCACCATCCTGCATCTCACCTTGTCCAATCAGAAAATGCTTGTAATTGTTGAGACACAAGGCTTTCACACAATTGAGGCAGTGTCGAGCATATGACTGACCTCTTGTGGTCAGTGTGCAGTGGGGCAGCCACTCAGCACAGGACACACAACATCGATCACTGTAGTAGTGCTAACTACTACAGTAATTGTCAGATTTCAAAGTGTTCTCCAGGTATAAAAGATATGCATATTTACATTTATTCAGGCTGTGTTTACTATGCAGTCACTCGGCACTGGACCCAAAACACTGTTGCACTACTGCACTGTTGTGATTTGCAGCTTACACAAAGATCGCTCAGGTATGAAATATGCACACTTACATTGGTCCAAGCTGGACCAATGTAACTATGCAAGAAAAATCATACCTAAAATGTCAGCATTAAGAGGGTTCATTTGGGCTTTAACCCCTTGACGCTGACGTCACACAAATATGCGGCCTCACAGAACTGGGCTATTGTCCATGGGGCCGCATATTTGCTTACCTCTCTTTCTGCTGGGACCCAGGACTCCCCTTGTTTTTTTTCTCGCTCTATGAATGGAGAAGAGAGATACATTGTATCTCTCTAATTCCTGGCATAGAGGGAAAAGTAAAGTATGTTTGTAAAAAAAAAAAAAATAAAAAAAAAAAAAAAAATAAATATAAATATATATATATATATATATATATATATATATATCTAAATATATATATATAAAAATATATAATAAATAAATATCAAAAAAATATAGAACAAGTACCTAGATCAAGGTTTGATCTAGTTCAGTGCCAGGGTGTTGTGTTTTAGGTAAAAAAAAAACAAAAACAAAACAAAATGCACACTACTGTTTCTGGGCTGTACTGCGGGTACAGACAACAAATAACATACACATATATGGTATCGCTGAGATCGTCAAGAGCTGGAAAATTTATTTTGGGTTGCTCTTTGATGGTAGGTAGTAACAAGAAACACGCAGCTAAATTTAAAAAAAAAAAAAAAAAAAAAAAAAAATCAGGAGGTATCCATTAACCATTTACCACCAAATAAAAGCCCAATTTGTCCTGAAAAAAAACAAGGTATAATTTGCCTGGATATACAAAGTAGTTGTGATGATATGTACAGTTTTACTAAATACATGTCAACATTGCAAAATTGTGCTTAGGTATTTAGATTTGTTTTACCCTTAGGCGTGAAGGGGTTAAGGGACCTTGTGTGAATGATTGTTACCATGGGAGCAATACATCCTGTCAATGTAAGACTGGAATAAGTAAAACACCTTGGCTGTGTATTTTCTGGATAGCTTGGAAAATCATTACATCCACAGTACCTGGTTTTGTGCCCTCAAGCCTCTTCAGATCTTCTTCATATGCCTTTAATGCTGCTTCTTCCATGGCTGCAAATTCTTTTGACATCTTCTCAGCTTCCTTGGCTTTGGCCACACTTTTTTGTTTAATCTAAAAGAACAGTTAAGCTACAGAAGTGTACTCAAAATGCCTTCTATGTAAACTATAGAACTACAGCAAGACCTGCACAACCCTGCATATTGCTGAAACTGGGCCAGGTGATATAGCAAGGAGGTCAGATTGCACATCAGTTTTCTGATATGTATGGCCATATTCTACATAGTTGGTAATACTACACTTTTAAAACCCACAATCTGGCAACCAGAAACTACAATTAGTAAGCTGCTTATTATTTATTATACAGGATTTATATAACGCCAACAGTCTATGCAGCGCTTTACAACATAAGGGCAGACAGTACAAATACAATACAATTTAATACAGGAGGAATCAGAAGGCCCTGTTTGTTAGAGCTTACAATCTAAGAGGGAGCTACAAGAGGTAATAACTGTGGGGGGTTTGGACTGATGAAGAAGATACATGTACAACTGTTAGGTAGCGGCAGGACAGGCCTCTCTGAAAAGAGGAGTTTTCAGTGATCGTCTAAAAGTGGACAGAGTAGGAGACAGTCTGACACATTGGGATAGGGAATTCCAGAGGATGGGAGAGGCTCTGGAGAAGTCCTGGGGGCAGCATGGGAGGAGGTGACAAGGGAGCTAGAGAACAGGAGGTCTTGGGAGGAACAAAGAGAACGATTTGTTTGGTACTGGGAGGCTAGGTTAGTGATGTACAGTGGGGCAAAAAAGTATTTAGTCAGCCACCAATTTTGCAAGTTCTTCCCCTTAAAAAGATGAGAGAGGCCTGTAATTGGCATCATAGGTAGACCTCAACTATGAGAGACAAAATGAGAAAAAAAATCCAGACAATCACATTGGCTGATTTGGAAAGAATTTATTTGCAAATTATGGTGGAAAATAAGTATTTGGTCAATATCAAAAGTTCATCTCAATACTTTGTTATATATCCTTTGTTGGCAATGACAGAGGTCAAAGGTTTCCTGTAAGTCTTCACAAGGTTGGCACACACTGTTGCTGGTATGTTTGGCCCATTCCTCCATGCAAATCTCCTCTAGAGCAGTGATGTTTTGGGGCTGTCGCTGGGCAACACGGACTTTCAACTCCCTCCAAAGGTTTTCTATGGGGTTGAGATCTGGAGACTGGCTAGGCCACTCCAGGACCTTGAAATGCTTCTTACGAAGCCACTCCTTCGTTGCCCGGGCGGTATGTTTGGGATCATTGTCATGTTGGAAGACCCAGCCACGTTTCATCTTCGATGCCCTTGCTGATGGAAGGAGGTTTGCACTCAAACTCTTACAATACATGGCCCCATTCATTCTGTCCTGTACATGCATCAGTCGTCCTGGTCCCTTTGCAGAGAAACAGCCCCAAAACATGATGTTGTCACCCCCATGCTTCACAGTAGGTATGGTGTTCTTTGGATGCAACTCAGCATTCTCTCTCCTCCAAACACGACGTGTTGTGTTTCTACCAAACAGTTCTATTTTGGTTTCATCTGACCATATGACATTCTCCCAATCCTCTTCTGGATCATCCAAATGCTCTCTAGCAAACTTCAGACGGGACCGGACATGTACTGGCTTAAGCAGGGGACACGTCTGGCACTGCAGGATCTGAGTCCCTGGCGGCGTAGTGTGTTACTGATGGTAGCCTTTGTTACGTTGGTCCCAGCTCTCTGCAGGTCGTTCACTAGGTCCCCTCGTGTGGTCCTGGGATTTTTACTCACCGTTCTTGTGATCATTTTGACCCCACGGGGTGAGATCTTGCGTGGAGCCCCAGATCGAGGGAATTATCAGTGGTCTTGTATGTCTTCCATTTTCTAATTATTGCTCCCACAGTTGATTTGTTTACACCAAGCTGCTTGCCTATTGCAGATTCAGTCTTCCCAGCCTGGTACAGGTCTACAATTTTGTTTCTGGTGTCCTTTGACAGCTCTTTAGTCTTCACCATAGTGGAGTTTGGAGTGTGACTGTTTGCGGTTGTGGACAGGTGTCTTTTATACTGATAACAAGTTCAAACAGGTGCCATTGATACAGGTAATGAGTGCAGGACAGAGGAGCCTCTTAAAGAAGAAGGTACAGGTCTGTGAGAGCCAGAAATCTTGCTTGTTTGTAGGTGACCAAATACTTATTTTCCACCATAATTTGCAAATAAATTCTTTCCAAATCAGCCAATGTGATTGTCTAGATTTTTTTTTCTCATTTTGTCTCTCATAGTTGAGGTCTACCTATGATGCCAATTACAGGCCTCTCTCATCTTTTTAAGTGGGAGAAACTTACACAATTGGAGGCTGACTAAATACTTTTTTGCCCCACTGTAGCTGGGGTAAACGCTTATTGAAAATATACTACTGTAACATAGCTTTATGTTCCTCTTTTAGAAGGCAATACATTATACTGGAGACAAGCACTTTACCTCACTGATTTTCTTGACAACATTTTCTTTGTGGTTTTTTTTCCCCGCTCATGGAACTCAATACTCTATATAAAAAAAAAAAAAAAAAGGCGTCAAAATAAATAATTTAAAAAAATAAGTTTCTCCAATTAATAAATCAGGGTCTTGTTTCTCAAAGGGGGAGATTTACGAAAACTGGAGAATTCAGAACCTGATGCAGCTGTGCATGGTAACCAATCAGCTTCTAACTTCAGCTTGTTCAATTAAGCTTCGACGATAAAACCTGGAAGCTGTTTGGTTACTAGGCACAGCTGCACCAGATTCTGTGTGCACCAGTCTTAGTAAATCTCCCCCAAAGTGTGTAAAACCAGAGCGGCCTGTAATGAGCTGTAGAGACCAGATTCCTGCTGCCCTGTCACTTACCATTTTACAGGGCAGGCTTATGAATGTGACTGATTTCTGAGGGCAATGAGGACATTAATACCCTGATAATATTGTTACAAATGAGACGTTATCACACAATACAACATACACCAATACAGTATATAGCCAGGGTATATATTAAGAAGAATTACTTGCCACAGCTGTCAAAAATTTCCTTTACTACCACTATATTTGCAAAAAAAAAAAAAAAAGTTGAAAACAAAAAACCTGGTGGACGTCTTTTTCTGGAGTGCCGCTTGTAAAAGTCACTCCAGAAATAGCCCTGGGGAGGAAAGTGCACCTATTAATGGCTGTGAAGTGAGCCACTCAAGGTTGATCCAGTTCACAGACAATATGTACAGAGCCGATCCAAATGGTTCTGTACCGCAAAATTGTTGTGAGGACAGTGTAGTGTTTACAGAAAAGTTTTGAACCCTTTCACCTCTTCCTCCTCTTGTGTAAATTTGATCTACATCCAGTCTCTATGTAACCGTATATTAACCCCTTTCACTTCCTTTATCATACACATCTGAACCTCAACCCCTTAATCTTCATCCTCTAGGTGTATGTGACCTGTATATTAACCCCTTTCACTTCCCTTATCATACACATCTGAACCTCAACCCCTTAATCTTCATCCTCTAGGTGTATGTGACCTGTATATTAACCCCTTTCACTTCCCTTATCATACACATCTGAACCTCAACCCCTTCATCTTCATCCTCTAGGTGTATGTGACCTGTATATTAACCCCTTTCACTTCCCTTATCATACACATCTGAACATCAACCCTTTTCATCTTCATCCTCTAGCTGTATGTGACCTGTATATTAACCCCTTTCACTTCCCTTATGCACATCTGAACCTCAACCCCTTCATCTTCATCCTCTAGCTGTATGTGACCTGTATATTAACCTTTTTCACTTCCCTTATCATACACATCTGAACATTAACCCCTTCATCTTCATCCTCTAGCTGTATGTGACCTGTATACTAACCTCTTTCACTTCCCTTACCATACACATCTGAACATCAACCCCTTCATCTTCATCCTCTAGCTGTATGTGACCTGTATACTAACCTCTTTCACTTCCCTTACCATACACATCTGAACCTCAACCCCTTCATCTTCATCCTCTAGCTGTATGTGACCTGTATATTAACCCCTTTCACATCTATTATCATACACATCTGAACATCAACCCTTTTCATCTTCATCCTCATCCTCTAGCTGTATCTGACCTGTATATTAACCTCTTTCACTTCCCTTTATCATACACATCTGAACATCAACCCTTTTCATCTTCATCCTCTAGCTGTATGTGACCTGTATATTAACCCCTTTCACTTCCCTTATGCACATCTGAACCTCAACCCCTTCATCTTCATCCTCTAGCTGTATGTGACCTGTATATTAACCCCTTTCACTTCTCTTGCCATACACATCTGAACCTCAACCCCTTCATCTTCATCCTCTAGCTGTATGTGACCTGTATATTAACCTTTTTCACTTCCCTTATCATACACATCTGAACATTAACCCCTTAATCTTCATCCTCTAGCTTTATGTGACCTGTATACTAACCTCTTTCACTTCCCTTACCATACACATCTGAACCTCAACCCCTTCATCTTCATCCTCTAGCTGTATGTGACCTGTATATTAACCCCTTTCACTTCTCTTGCCATACACATCTGAACCTCAACCCCTTCATCTTCATCCTCTAGCTGTATGTGACCTATTAACCCCTTTCACTTCCCTTATGCACATCAGAGTATTAACCCCTTCATCTTCATCCTCTAGCTCACAGGTGTTTCTGTATGTGACCTGTGTATTAACCCCTTTACCTCCTCTCTCTGTGTATGGCCTGCATCATTATCAAGCTCCATGGTTTAACCCTCTCATGTTTTTTCATTTCCAAAATGATGTGGCAAATAAGATCACCTTGGGGTGTCTACTTTTCACAATTACAGTAACAAAAAAACAAAATAAAAAAACACCAGGGATTATTAAGCACCACCAAAAGAAAAAATGTCTCCAAAATTTTTAAAAAGGATACAATGCTGCATGATGGAGACATGTTCAGCCAAACTACCAGATCGCTTAAAATTGAAAAATGGAGTTGGTAATGAAGAGGTTTTACAGGGCAGTGTTAGAGTGAACACTAACACTACTACTAATGAATAATGCATACCGGCTTATTGTCAGCAATCCAACACTTGCAATACATGCAAAATTTCTTAGGCTGAGATTTCCAGTAGTCAGCCCTGAAAAAGAAGCACTGCATGTTAAAGCATGAGCAAAATAAAAAAGAAATTACATATACGAAACAGTAGGTCACTAGCATTAACACAGCACTCCCCCATATAACCCAGCTTTAATACCTTCTAATTCTGTCAGTAAATCCATTATTATTATTATTATTCTCTTTATGATGGGTTCAAACCAATACATAATGCTTTTTATCCATTTCGCAGCGCATTTTTTTTTTACCACATTTTGCACTTTTTTCCAGCTTTTTTCTTTCAGTTAAAGCGGAATTTTTTTTTGGTTGCTAGGCAGAACGCAGCAAAAATGCAACAAAAAAAAATGCACTAATTGTGTTTCAGCAGCTTCCCTATTGAACTCTACTGTAGAAAAAAAAAAACGTTGCTTTTTGCATTTAAAAAAAGTCTTTGACCATTTTCAAAAACGCAGCAGGTCAAAAAAGAACAGATGTGAACATGTCCCATAGGAAACCATGTTAAATGGACTGTAATGCGTTTCTGCAAAAAGCACTAAGAAACGCATTGGTGTGAACCAGGCCTTACAGAGCGCATACATTATTTATGCTTAGGATAAATGTAGAAAAAAAAAAACATTTACAAATTTACAGCTCTAAGCCAGCCAAAATTATATTTCCCCCATTTTAAATAGAACATGGAAAGGCTAAATCTTCTAAAACATTTTTATTGCTAATACGCCATTTGGGGTCACTGTGTGTATGAAACACACCCCTGTGACAGCAGTGCAAGAATCAGAGGAGCCCGTTAAGCTTGTTTCCTGGAAAAGTTGCTTTTGTTGTTGGGTTTACCAAATAATAAAATGTAACCAATGTAAGTGCATGGATTTGACCAAGTATCAATTTCTCGAAACACCCTGTAGAGCACCACTTGGAGTTATAGCAGAGTGAGCAGACAGATGACATCAGTCTGCTACAGCTCCTTTATTATCCAACTCCCAGCTGGGGGTTGTGAGAAAAACAATGCATCCTTTCTACAGTTTATAAACAAACAGAGAAATGTTATTAGTGTGCCTGGCTGTGCTGTGTGGCAGGGCTGTGTAACCTCAAGTCTAGATGAGCAGAAATACAAACACGGTTGCAGGAAAAACAGCTCCTTTATATGAATTTAAACTGATATTAGTGGTTTTCCTGGAGCTCAGCATTTATCATCGGAAGGGCATAAAATTGTGAGGAAACTTACATGATGGCTTCCTTGTGTCTTTCCTGCAGAAATAAACAAAGCAAGTGTTTCAGATTAAAACCACAAATATATACGTCATCAGAGACATCTGGTATATACACAGTTAGGCACACTGCCGATATCCTGAAAACCTTTATATTTTCCCCAAAACTTCATCAAAATTCTACAACAATCTGTTCCATTTATGAATAAGAAGGTGCTGCACAATTATTGGTAAATTGTGCTGCTCAGACAGATCAGAATGTACCAGTCAGGGGCGGACTGACCATTTAGAAACTCGGGCACTGCCCGAGGGCCCGGGGTCAGTAGGGGGCCCCGTGAGATGCCCCTGGTACCTTTTTCATAGGCTTTTTTGAGTTTGGGCAAGGACACAGGGGCCCCATGAGTTGTCAGTCCGCCCCTGTTACCAGTATAAATATATAAAACTAGCTTTAGGGTTCATTCACAACACTTGCAAGTTTTCTACCCTAGCTAAGTAAAGTGATATTAAAGTTTTTTTTTTTTAAATAACAAACATGTCATATTTACCTGCTCTGTGCAATGGTTTAATGCAGAGCAGCCCTGATCCACCTTTTCTCGAGTTCCCCACCGGTGCGCCTGGCTCCTCACCTCTGCTGAGTACCCCGCACAGAGCAAGCGGCTTGCTCTGGGGGCTCTCGTGCCTGCTCACTCTTGAGCCCCGCTCTGTGTGTCTATAAGACACACAGAGCATGGCTCAGCCCCACCCTTTCCTCTCTGCCTCCCGCTGCTGTGTCTCAGCCAACAAGAGAGACCCAGGAGAGCCAAGGCTCCCATGCACAGAGCTGGATCGAGATTGGGCTCCGGTAAGTATTACGGGGGGGGCTGTGGGGGGAGCAGTACACAAAAAGGTTTTTTTTCCTTATGACCATTTTAACTAAGTCCCCTAAGGCATCAAGTTACAATTTGCATTTTGTTTCTAAAAATTAATGTAAACCTCAAAAAAGTATATATTTTCTGAAACAGAGACCCTGGAAAAAAAAAAAAAATGGTACTTGCAATTTTTCATGGTGTAAGGTTTCTTCACAGTAAGAGCTGTGTAACTGTGGAATAGACTCCCTCAAGAGTTGGTTCTGGCCAGCTCAGTGGATTGCTTTAAAAAAGGCCTGGATTCTTTCTTGGATACACAGAATATAACTGGATACTAACATTTATAGGTAAAGTTGATCCAGGGAATATCGGATTGTCTCTCGGGGGAACAAGAAGGAATTTTTTCCCTTGAGAGGCAAATTGGATCATGATTTGCTGGGTTTTTTGCCTTCCTGTGAAAAAAACTGTGGGTGTGGGATTATACATTTTTTTTTTTCCTTTAATGGTTGAACTGGATGGACTTTTGTCTTTTTTCAGCCACACTGTGTAACATTATATTTGTACAGTTATCACATATTTTCAAGAAAAAATACACAAAAATGCATTTTAGTGCAAGCAAACACAATATTACACCCAAATTTTGTTAAAATATACAACTTGGGGTTGCGTGAAGTAAATAGGTACCAATCATGTCAGGTCTTAAAATTGCACACTATGGTACCCAAAATTCTCTATATGCAATGCTTTAAAAGCCTTTACAGGTCATCAGTTTAGAGTTAACTTAACTATGACCTTAGAATTATTGCTCTCACTCCAACATTCCCTTACATGTGCGGCACAGATAATGTTTACATACATATTGCCCTACGCTGCTTTTTCTTGTTTGTTCTGGGCTCCCTGGTTGAGCAGGATAGCCTGGCAACTACCGTGCCACCGGAAAGTGTCGAGGTGTGGTGTGCACTTTGAGAGCACCATAAAAAAAATTATTGAGCGGCTCTTCGCTCTTAGGGCCAGTTCACACTACATGCGTTTCAGTTGCTTTTTTCTGCATCCAAAACACACAAAGTAGGTTATATGGTTGTCAATGACATAGTTCACATCAGTGCTTGCACTTTGCAGTGCGTTCCATATGCAGGAAAAAAAAAGAAGAACATGCTGAATTTTTTCTGCAGGACTGTACTGGAACATGGTAAAATGCATACAAAATGCACTGGAATGCATATGACCCTATATAAATTGAAGAAAAAGAGAGGGGAAAAAATGAAATGAAAAAATGAAGTGGAATGAATAAAAAAAACGCACCAACGCATCAAAAACACGCATGCGGAAACGCATCCGGACTGCGTTTCAATGGTGTGAACCGGCCCTTAAAGCCTTCTGCAGCTGTGAGCTTGATTGAACCACTTTTCTACCATGACGTTTATAAACCTACCCTGGTAAACAAGTGCTTAAAGAGTATTTCCACTTTTGCAGCCAAATTGAGATAGCATCTATTTTAGATTTGTTATATGTTCCCATAGCATAATTTAGCAAAGATTTCCCCTTCTAAAGAGTTAGCCCTGGTTCAAACTGATGTGGTGCAGAGTTTTGCACCAGTTTCTGTGCGATTTCTGCACCGCATCATAATCGCACCCCGTTCATGCGAACCTCTGTGGGTGTATATTCTAAGTTAACAACACCCAAAATCGGTTTGCAAAATGCGGTGCGATGTGCAGAACCAGATCACATGGGTGCAAATACTCATGCGATCTGATTCTGGTATAGATGAAAAAGGGTCCTGCACTATTTTAGTGCGGATGCGGTGCAATTTGAGCCATACAAAATGTATGGCTCAAATTGCAAAGCACAGAAATGTGGTTTATGTGATTTACATGCAATGTGCCACACCGCATCAGTGTGAACCAGGGTGATTTTTAAAAAAATCCCCCATGCTTTCCAGTATCCCCAGCACATTACATAACACTCCTCCAGTGTTCAAATAGTTGTTTCGGCCCCCCTTTATACATGTAGGCCATGCACAGTCTGTATGAAAAAACCTCCTTAGTAGCTGACACCCCCCCTCCGTCATGCCAGGAGGTTGGCATCTTCAGTGTGGGCACCTGGCTGTGATAGCTTGCGGCTTCACAGCCAGGTGCCCAATGCGCATGTGTGAGTAGCGCTGTGCTTCATGAATGGTCTTGTAGTCTTCTGGCACCTGTCACGTGTCCCAAAAGACTACAGGGAGGGAGGACACTTTCCGCTTCTGATCACCTAGGCGATCGGACCGGAAGTGGGAGCAGGTACCTGTCAAATTTGGGTACCCACTCCCCCCCAAAGATGCCAATCCTTAATGGGGAGCAAACCTTAAAACGGAACTTCCCCTTTTTGGTGGAGCTCCGCTTTAAGCCAGAATGGACAACAGCGATCTCATGCCTGCTCTTAAACTGAATGTTAGGGCAAAAAAGAAAAAAAAAGCAGTAAATCTGCAATACATTTCCTGTTTTTTGCATCCCTTTTAAAAAAAATTTGAAAATAAAGAAAATACCTGTTGATGTTCCAGAAATGCACTCAGCTCCTAATTTCTGTTGTGGGCTCACAACACACTATTTTCATAGACGAAGGTTTGGCAGCCCTTCCAGTTGTCACTAGTCTACTGTACCCATCAGGAAGGCTTATTGTTCTGTAGTTCCAAGATAAGAACTGACAGGGTGATTGGGCCTCTTGAGATAACAGGGAAGCATACACATGACAGCTCTGAACAGATCAAAACGAATATCATTGAACAGATATAAACACTTTTTACCAGTAATAAAGGCCAACAGGGAGTAAATAAGTGAGGATAAAGGGTGAGCAGAGCAACTACTCATATGTAGCTCCTCATACAAGCAGGCGGTCTGCTCACATGCATGTGCAGTCATGTAAAGGGTTGTCTAGATAAGGTCAGGGGATAGGAACACGTTGCAGACAACCTGCCCATGCATAATGAATGTGCAATTAA